AGTGGGTCTCCTCAGGGTGCCGTCAGCCAGACAGTGCCGGCTGGCGACCCCAAGGGGGAGGGCCTTCTCTGTGGGAGCCCCCACCCTCTGGAACGAACTGCCCCCAGAGATCAGGGTGATCCCTGATCTCCCTTCCTTCCGCCGCGCCCTCAAGACGTGGCTGTTCCAACTAGCGGGACTGGCCTGAGGGATTTTAAAGAGGGTTTTAATTACTTTTAAATTGGACATGTTAAATATTTCGTTTTAATCAAATTTTAATTAAGTATATGTATATATGTTAGTATTTTATTCAATTGTCAGCCGCCCTGAGTCCGTAAGGAGAAGGGCGGGATATAAATGCAATTAATAAAATAATAATAATAATAATAATAATAATAACAAAAATAATAAAAAATCAATGATCTCCTGCTATAGATAAATTATTGGAGAAAAAACTAGTACAGTATGTGTGTTTATTTAGAACAATGAGAATATTTTTAGTCTGTACTACTGAAGAGAACTATTGCAATCAAAAGCCACTGGAGTAAATTTACAAATTTTTATTACACCAGATAACTTGCTATGTCCACCTAATTATTCTAATCTAAGCCATCCATCCAATATATACGTTCATAATATTATAGGAGTTATTTATATTATATTTTGTAATTTTATTAATTATTTTAAAAATAGTTTCTTTGAATAACAACTTCTGTGAAAATTAAAGCTGAAGTAGGATCAGAGAGAAACTACTAACAGTATGCTGCTTATAATTATACTTATCCTCTATTGTCTGATCATGAACCAATTTCTCATTTCTCATTTATATGATGATTTTTTCCTACCTACCATCGAATTTAGCTTTTGATGTTTTCTAAAACTTTTTTGAATACCAAATATTCATATCTATTAAATGACTCCATTTAGTTCATTTAACACTCTGAAAAAAAGAGTCTATATTAAGATTTACAAAAATGAATATACTTTTAAACAAGGCTGTTTATTCTACATATTTTGTGCTATGCAAGTAGTATTAGAACACAGATGTTTCACTCCATAATAAATAGGATAATAATAGCATGATATTATTTGTTTTCTTTATTTGAAGATGGCAGTGATGGTGGCCGTTCACACAAAACCATCTTGGATCGCTGGCGAGAATCACTTCTTTCTTCTGCTAGCCTCTCTCAGATCTTCCTTCATCTCTCAACACTGGAGCGAAGCGTAATCTGGTCTAAGTCTATTTTAAATACTCGGTGCAAAATGTGTAGAAAGAAAGGAGATGCTGAAAGCATGGTGCTTTGTGATGGCTGTGATCGAGGCTATCATATCTACTGTATAAGACCAAAGCTTAAGGTAATTTGAAGTATTTGCTTTGAAAGTTTAAAAATTATTTCTGATCTCAAGTAGCAAAAAACATTTCAGTAATACATTCTGGCTCTCTTCGAGGCTGTTCCTGATGGAGACTGGTTTTGTCCGGAATGTCGACCTAAGCAGCGCTCTAGGCGGCTTTCATCCAGACAGAGAACTTCTGTGGAAAGTGATGAAGAGGCTATAGAACAAATTAAAGAAGAAGATGAAACTAGTTATGAGGAAATTGAGCAAAGTGAAGATGATTATGAAGAGGAAGAAGAGGATGAGAATATTGACAATTCTGATTCTCAAGAAGATGAGAAAAGGTAAATCCAAAACTAAGTTAGAAATGTGCAGAAGCTGCATACAGACTTCCAGTATTCTCTAGTTTTCTTTCTAGGGATACAAATCTTGAGACTTGGAGACATAAGCAAGAGATATTAGTTATATTAGTTTCACAGAGTGACTACAAACAACCACACGACAAAGTAATAACAATGGTCCATTGGGATATCTGCAAGAAATATCATTTGCCTGCAAGCAAGAACTGGTGGGATCATACAATAGACAAATGGAAAATGAAGATGCTAAAGTGCTCTGGAATTTTAGAATTCAAACAAACAAACAACCCCCTGCCACATAACAGATTTAACAATTGTCAATAAGAAAGACAAAAAAGTCTGGGGAGTGGATGTGGAGACAGCAGAATAGAAGAGGAAGAACTGGAGAAAATTGCATTATACTTGAATATAGTAGCTATCCATTTATCTATTCATAAGTTTAGTTTTGGTTTCATCATTTAGCCAGAAAGATGGACTACTTCTGATTGCACATTCTTCTACATCTAGAGTTGTGACTGAAGCTCTGGTAGTAGTTTACTGTTCTCTAACTGACAGTATTAATATGCCAGAGACAGCTTGTAATTCATCCATATTCCAGAAAACACCAATTTAAAGTAGTCCATTATACTGCACTTGAGGCTTCATGTAGATTTGTTTAGAATTTCCAGTTAATTAAAAAAGTTGAGACTGACTGGAACTTTTAACTAGAAAAATATCTTATTTATTTATTTATTTTATTTTATTTTATTTGATTTATATCCCGCCCTTCTCCCAACGGGACTCAGGGCGGCTCACAACATATTAAAAAACATAAACACATTTACAACCCCACCGAAGTAAAACCAATTAAAACCGAATATTTAAAGCTGTGCTATTTAAAAATTACTCTTAAGATAAACCCGATTTAAAATCCTCCCTAGGCCAGGCCCGCT